TTTTTTTTTTTGAGACAGAGTCTTGCTGTGTCACCAGACTGGAGTGTAATAGCGCGATCTCAGCTCACTGCAGCCTCCTCTTCCTGGGTTCAAGTGATTCTCCTCCCTCAGTCTCCCTAGTAGCTGGGATTATAGGCACGTGCCACCATGCTCAGCTAATTTTTGTATTTTTAGTAGAGATGGGGTTTCACCATGTTGGCCAAGATGGTCTTGATTTCCTTACGTCATGATCACCCGCTTCGGCCCCCCAAAGTCCTGGGATTACAGGCATGAGCCACTGCACCCTGCTGAAATACTTTTAAGTGAATGTTTTCTCCTGAAACAGCTGAATTTTAATAGCTTGGGACCTGATTTGTAACCAAATTCTTGTTAAATATCTGATAACTATTGTGTCCTGCTATTTAAATGGAGATATTAGTTTATCTGCTCTAGTGGCTGGCTTAGCATTCAAAGCCTGAGTTTGAGGCTAGGATGCTTTCCCCATCTGAGCTTCCATTACGCATGACTGAACTCTTTGGGCATGTCTAGCATGCTAAATACAGCAGCTCCTCACAGTGTGAAAATAAAACCTGATTAAAAACAAATCTATTTTAATTCCCCTTTGCAAATGGCTCTGCTTTAATGTCAGCTTTCTGAATTATCTTTAATAATCAAATGAGGAAATTCACTTCACTATCCATTTATCATAGATAAATCACAACCTACTTTTTGATCTTTTTCAATGAGCATCAATTATTGTTAAATAAAAAATTATCAGAGAATAACAGAGTGGGTTGCCTTTCTATTGAACACATAACAAAGATACATGCTTTAAAGAAGTTCTGCCCCTGTAAATATTTGTAACAGGGATATAAATGGAGAAAAGCTTTTTCTGGTGTTTTTTGATGCATTGTCAGCAAAAATGAAAAGCACTGAGAAAATTAAACACTCTATTTCAGTCTGAGCAAAGGGCATATGTTTACCAGTTTTGTTATTAAAAGCTTTTGCAATAGAAAAAGTCAGCCAAAAAAATAAATAAAAGCAAGAAACTTCATACGTGACATGCAAATACTGCGTCCTGATTTAACTACAGGACGTGGCTATAATGATGAAAATGTTGTTGTCTTTTGAGACTGAGTCTCATTCTGTCACCCAGGCTGGAGTGCACTGATAGGATCTTGGCTCACTGCAATCCTCACCTCCCAGGTTCAAGCGATTCTCCTGCCTCAGCCTCCTGAGTAGCTGGGATTACAGGCATGTGCCACCATGCCCAGCTAATTTTT